GTGAGTGAGTGAGTGAGAGGGGGGGGGGTCATAGGCGTACACACAGACACACACATATGCAAACACATACACACATATGCGCACACACACACACAGACACACACATTCCCATACACAAAAGTGGATGAGAACCAAATGCAGCCATTTCACGCAGCTTTACACATTTCGAAACGCCACGAACGCTACCACCGCCACCACATCCATTATCGACAAGTCTGATGACAACACTCACCCGCCACAGCTTCTTCCTTGTGTGCGCAAGCTTGATGTGCGTGTACCCCTGCACGGAATACCTGATACAAGCACGCCAGACAGGACCACAGGAAATGAGGGTGGGGGTAATGATGACTGTTGGGAGGGGGTCAGCACAACGTACATGGAGACACAAACAAACCAGCAGTAGACACGCCGTGCGTTTGGCAAACCATCATCACCACAAGCACTATCACCAACACTAGCACGAGCGCGACCACTCACTCGTCTGCGCCTGTTGGCACGGCGCTGGCCGTTGTTCGGCGGAGGGTCTGCGTACCATCATCACCACTGTCACCACCATCATCAGCACCATTATCGTCATCATTGGTGGTGTTGTGGCCACCATCGCTACCATCATCATCGCCACCACCACCACCACGGCTCGCGTCTTGGTCAACAAGCTTGGCGTGGAAGGTGTGGAATTCGTCAAATTCAGCCATGAGCTGGCATGCTGTTTTGCATAAGCGCAGCAGACACCGCTGGGATTTGGACTTTGGAATCTGCACGCAGAACGAGCGGAACGTTTGTCCGGATGACCCAAAGCCTGCAGGCAACACACCACCACGCACCGCAAATATCACAGCACGTGAGAACACGAGGCGTTGGTGTGTGCATGTGTGCGTGTGCATGTGCGTGCGTGTGAGTGTGTGTGTGTGTGTGTGCAAGTGTGTGACGGCATGTGTGAACTACAAGCACATTGTGAACAGGAGGTGAGGGGAAGACCACGAATGTGTTGCCTGCGGGCATTCAATAGTACCTGATGCAAATCGAATGACGGCATCACGCATGCGCGTGCTCGCAAATCTCGGGAACAGCGCGCACATGTGTTCAACTGCGGACTTTGGCTGCCCGAGCGCCATAAACGCATCGGTCACCTGTGTGTGTGTGTGTGTGTGTGTGTGTGTGTGTGTGTGTGTGTGTGTGTGTGTGTGTGTGTGTGTGTGTGTGTGTGTGTGTGTGTGTGTGTATGCGAGCACACGTGGGCTGGGGGGGGGTGTTCTATGGCATCAATGACAGATCGGCCTGAGCCGACCAGCAAGCATTACATCATCGACCCCACCATCACCACCATTGCATGCCACCAGTACATGCCAACACGACCCTCTCCCAATCGCGCCTCCGCACCTTCTTGTACTGGTCGTGGCTGAAGCCCTCCTTGACAATGGCGTTAATGCGTTCCTCGAGTGTGGTGCATATGAGCGTCTTGCCGTCGCCCAAGTTCGCCGCCAAATCCGTCACGCACGCGAACCCGTGGCCAAGCTGCACCAGCGAATTGCACTGCTGCCACAGCTGAGGATGCGCGTGGGGGAGGTTGTTGTGAGACGGCGGAGGTGGTATGTGTGTGTGTGTGGGGGACACACAGACGAGTGTAACATGAACAAACAACACCCTAGTGACACAAACGAACAAGCACACATGCACACACACGCGCACCTCGATGGCAGAGATGTATTCTTGGTTCTCCAACAGTTCTGAGAGCTTCGTGCTCGCCGTTCGCATGATGCCTGCAGGCAACACAGATCATCACGACAACACAGCAGTGACTATGAATGGAATATAGCCACGATCCAAGGGAAGGACGCACAGAAGAAACTATTCAAGTCACTTACTTGTGCAATCCAATTGGCGAACATGTGCACACACACACACACGCACACACATCACGCATACACACACACACATCACGCATACACACACATATGCACACACACATGCACACACATCACGCATACACACACATATGCACACACACATTACGCATACACACATATGCACACACACACGCACACACATCACGCATACACACACACACACACATCACGCATACACACACACACACAACTATGCAGTGCGACTCACTGATGCCCTGCAACAGCTTGAGGAGGTGCAGCATGCGCTTCTTCTTGCGGTGCTTATGCAGGATATGCAGCCCGCACCGCACATCATTGTGGGCGCGCTGCAGCTGACGCCGCCCGTTCTTGCACACCACCAGCGTCATTGCTAGCTCTTGCTCAAGCTCCGTCACCCGCTGTGCGCATGTGGATGAATGTGTGTGTGTGTGTGTTTGCATGTGTGTGTGTGTGTGCATGTGTGTGCATGTGTGTGTGTGTGTGCGTGTGTGTGTTTGCATGTGTGTGTGTGTGCATGTGTGTTTGCATGTGTGTGTGTGCGTGTGTGTTTGCATGTGTGTGAGTGTGGTGGAGTGGAAACATGCATGCATGAGTGAGTGTGAATGTGAATGTGAATGTGAATGTGAATGTGAGTGTGAATGTGAGTGTGAGTGGGTATGTGTGCATGTTATGTTGCATGGGAAACCAGCAAGTACCATCACATGGGATCAAACCCCTGTCATTGCACGCCCTCAATACAGCGCCGCAGTGCAGGGCAAGCAGAATACGCACCGTCAACTCCAACATGAACTCTTTGTGGTGCTGCAAGACAACGGTCGACAGCTGCTTCGACACCTGTTGGGGTCAAACGATCGTCACGCATTCATGCGTGGGTCAACAGCAAGTCATGCGTGCGTGTGTGTGTGTGTGTGCGTGGAAACAAAAATGAGTACCATCTCATGCAGGAGGGGCTTACGGCTTGCAGCTCCTGGTACTTTCGTGTTCGGATGGCATCCAATGCTTCAAGCCCTGACGACATTGTGATCGCGGTTCGATCGAGCAGCCATTAAAAAGAGGAGTGAGTATGCAGTGGCGTTCGGGCGTTAGGTTTGATTCGCACCAACATGTGTTTGCAACGCCACACATGTACACACATGTACACACATGTACACACATGTGCACACATATGTGCACACACACACACCGCTTGTGAGATCTTCTGGAAAGTCGTTGAGTGTGGCCAGCGTTGCATCAAAGGAGTCGTGATTGTAGTTGGGATCCAGTTCCTTCAAGAGCTATCATGCCGACAGCACATACAGGATGCCCAGGGGAGAGTGAGGTATCGAGTGCATCAACAACGTTTTTCTTCTGAACGCGTACACCTGTCGACTTTCCTTTTCACTTACTCACACACACACACACACACACACACACACACACACACACACACACACACACACACACACCACGTCGTCTGGAGGAGCAACGTCGCGGATGACTCGGCGTGTGGGGCGGTTCACAGTCGGGGCGACAGAAGGCTTTTCATCGTCCTCTTTGTGGTCTGAGCTCGTGCCAGGGTGCGCAGCCGCGTCTGTCTTCTGCTCACATACCAAAGCAGCACGGAATGTCAGTGGAAATGGGTCGGCCAGCAACACACACACGTCTGCAACTACGTGCATGACACACACACACACACACACACACACACACACACACAGAGACACCACACACACAGACACACTCACACACACACACACACACA